TGTGGCTCAGCAGTAGAATACTGGCCTTACAACCCCTGAACTTATATTCCAGTACCGCAAAGGGAAAGGGAAAGAAAGCAAGTTTAATCTTGATGTGAAGCAATGGTTTCCCTCTACAATTTAAACCATGTCCCAACCTTGGAGGAATTGGCCTTGTGGCTCTGTTGTCCTACACTAATGATTACAGAGGGACTAAGCTGCCCAATTGCCACTTTGATGGGTGGTCTGATTCCAACATACCTAGGCTGCACAGGGCAGACAGAGCTACCCTTTCATTTCCCTGGGTGGTGCTTTAGGTGGGCAGCCAGCATGGAGACTTTAGATCCAATGCCCATTCTGCCACCCAGCAGCTGCCAGGTAACTCTGGGGAAGTCCCATCCTTTCACTGAGATTCGATTTCCTTATCCATAGGAGATTTGCATTATGTATTCAATAAGGTCTTTATTCCACTTGAGGATCCACTTGCCCTCTGATTTCTCAAATGTGTCAGCTTAGATCTAATTCTCCTCTTTCTATTGTTCACAGATCAGTGGCAAGAGGCAAAACAGCTATGAGTTGGAAATTATAATGAGAAGATAACCAGCTGCCTTCCAATCAAACTTTCCTTCTGAGAAGCTAAGAAGTCTGTTTTTTAAAGTTATTTATCATTACCATCACTTAACATACTTTTCTCACTAAAACCAGAGGGGCAGGGATACTGACAAGCAGATGTTCAATTACTAGGGGCCCTGGGGGATGATTTGAGACTTTCACTGTAGTGATTGTTCTCTAGATTCTTCCAGAGTCAGCAGAAGCTTTGATGAACTCAACAGTGAGCAAGGGAGATTGGGGAGACACAGACCAGAGGCCTATTGAAAGTCTGGCTTAATGGAAAACTGCTAGGATAGCAGTTGCTGGCTGGGGACAGTGTGGATTATGAAACTAATATATTTATGTAACACTTCACAAAGAGTCCTCAACTGCTATTATTTCATTTTCTCATGAGGACACTTCTTGGCTGATCTATAAACATATGAATCTCCTCAGTAAGTTCCTTGGTTTTAATAGATCATCTGTTAAAATGGCCACACCAAAACCATCTGATTATTCACAGATGGGGAGGAGGGCTAATTCCCTCCTTCGAATCAAAATTGGCTTTATTAGTTGATTCAACCAATAGAATATAGAGGAAGTGATGTCAGGTGAGTTCCAGAATCTACGAACTTAAGAAATCTGACAGCTTTTGTTTCACCCTCTGGGTCTGGTTATGGTTTAAATATAAAACATTCAAGCCGAGTGCCAGTGGCTCACACCTGTAATCTTAGCTACTCAGGAGGCTGAGATCTGAGGATCGCAGTTCAAAGCTAGCCTGGGCTTTGAATGTTTTATATATATATATATATATATATATATATATATATATATATATATATATATATATATATATAAACATTCAGCTGGGCACCAGTGGCTTGCACCTGTAATTTTAGCTACTCAAGAGGCTGAGATCTGGGGATGGAAGTTCAAAGCCAGCTTGGTCAGGAAAGCCTGTGAGATGCTTATCCCCAATTAACCACCAAAAAGCCAGAAATGGAGCCGTGGACTCAAGTGGTAGAACACTAGCCTTGAGCACAAAAGCTCAGGGACAGTGCTCAGGCCCTGAATTCAAGCCTGACTAGCACCAAAACCAAAACCAAATGAACAAATTATATTTATATATATATATATAAAACATATACATATGTAAAATATTTTATATATACTATATATGTGTATATATTTATATATAAACATCTCCCATAGGCTCAAGTGTTAAACACTTGGTTCCCCCACTGTTGGCACTATTTTGGAAAGTTCTGGAAAGTTACAGAGGTGGGGAACCTTTTTATACCAAGAACCATGTTTGTGGGCTGTTCAAAATTATTGATATAAGCAGATGACAGTGGGCAGCTTACAAGAATCACGTGTGTCAGTCTTGTCGTGTACCAAAAGATTTTGTGGACCTTATATGGCCCACAAGACAGAGGTCCCCTACTCTACTAGGTGAATCCTAGCTGGAGGAAGTAGGCCAGTGGAGGAGCATGTCTTTGAAGGTGATGCCTGGTCCCCAGGCCCTTTCCCAGCTCTCTGTTTCCTGTCTACCATGAGGTGAGCAGCCTCCTGTTCCTCCACATGCCGCTGCCACCATTATGTTCTGCCCAAGTACATAAGCCAAACAAACATGGACTGAACTCTGAAACTGAGAGACAAAAGACATCTTTTGCCAGGCACCAATAGTTCACACCTGTAATCCTAGCTAGTTAGGATGGTGATATCTAATAATCACTGTTCAAAGCTAGTTTGGACAGAAAAGTTCCTGTAAGACTCTTATCTCAAATTAACCACCAGGATACTAGAAGTGGTGCTGTGGCTCAAAGTGGAAGAGCACTAGCTTTGGCCCAAAAAGAGCTCAGAGACAGCGCCCAGTCCCTGAGCTCAAGGCTCACAACCAATGTGGGGGAAAAAGATACTTTCCTTTTTTTGGCCTGATTCTGGTTCCCTGAGCTTTTTTGCTCAAGGCTACTGCTCTACCAATACCATTTGATCCACAGCCCCACTTCCAGCTCTGTGTGTGTGTGTGTGTGTGTGTGTGTGTGTGTGTGTGTGTGTGTGTGTGTACTGTGATTAATTGGAAACAATTTTCATGGACTTTCCTAAATCTGCTGGCTTCAAACCATGATCCTCACATCTGAACCTCCTGAGTAGCTAGTATTGCAGGCATGAGCCACCAGTGCCCAACTCATCTTTCCTTTAAATTGTCTTTCATGGGTATTTGGTCACTACTATGATAAAGCTGACCGACATAGGATCTAAGCCACCATGTAAAAAGACAAGCTTGGTCAAGATTTCTCAGTCTTGGCACTATTGATATTTTAGATCAGGTTATTCTTTGTGCTGTGGACTGTCCTGTGCATTATGGAATGTTGAACAATATCCTTGACCTCTACCTCTGAGATATTCCAGTTGTGACAACCATGAATGTCTTGCCATGTGTTCCCTATGAGAGAAAAATTCACTTCTGCCTGTAGTCACTACTAAATGACAAGAACTGTAGAGTTAGTCAGCATTCCATTATGGTACCAAATTCCTGGGTGATCAACATACAAAGAGAAATAACTTATTTTGGCTCATTTATTTCTTTATTTTTATTTTTGATGATACTAGAATTTGAACTTTGAGCCTTATACTTGCTTGGCTTTCTTGTTCAGCTGGCACTCTTCCACTTGAGCCATACCTCCAGTCTAAGTTTTGCTGGTTATTTTGGAAATGAAGTCTCATAGACTTTTCTGTTTCAGCTGGCTTCGAACCTCGATCCTCCAGATCAACCTCTTGAATAGTTAGGATTACAGGCATGAATCATTGGAATCTTCCCTCTCAGCTCACACTTGTGAAGAGTTCAGTGCATAGCCCTGTTGTTTTGGGCCTGTGGTGGCTTATCAGGACAATACAAACAATTGACATGATTAGGAATCAAAGGAAGAGGCTTGGTGTCCTCTAATTCCCTTTGAGTGTACATCTCCAATGACCTAAAATCTCCTACACCTCTTAAAGGTTCTGCTACTTCCCAATAGAACCAAAGCCTGGGGACCAAGCCTTTAACACATAAGGAACACTGGGTATTCAAATAATAGCACTGGGTAAGGAGTCAATCTCAACTCCATTTGGATGTTAGTGGGAGGGATGTCTCTGTAAGAAGTAATCAAATTACTATTGGTGGGAAAACAGAAGAAATGAACACTGGATAGATTTCTCAGGATCTAACACAACATCAGTGCTGGCAAACATACTTGCTAGACAACTGAAGAACAAAGGAAGTCAACACTAATTGATCCGAGGTGATCCAAAGTGTCTAGGCCAGGCAAGACTTAGGCCTGCCTAGTCTTCTGCTAATTATTAGTTCCCACTATTGACATTTTTCTCTCCAGTCTTGATTGGTTATCAGCACAGTAGACACTCCCTTCCTTTGCCAATCCAAATATTTGCTCCTAAAGGATGTTAGTTATTTCTTTTCATCTGGAGGGAAATACAGGCCAAGACATTCCTCTGTATTTGTGTGTAATTTATGCATGGTTTAAGGCTTCTCCGGTTAAATTGGCCTTTTAATTTAATTTTGGCTGGACACATTTTAGCTCAAAGAAGGATGCCTCCTTTGGAAGCACACATTCCTCAACAATCTCTTCAAACAAGTCAGGCCTGGTGGTTCACATTTATAATCCTAACTACTTTGGGAGCTCAGTTTGGGAAGGTCATAATTCAAGCCCAGCCCAGGAAAAAAGTTCATGAGATGCCATCTCAACCAAGAAAAATGTGCAGGGTGGCTTGTGCCTGTCAGCTATTCAGGAAGTGAAAATAGGAGGATAGCAGTTGAGGCTGACTTGAGCAGACACAGAGTCTTTATGTGAAAAATATCAAAAGCGAAAGAGTGCTGGGTGAGGTGGCTCAGGGGGAGAACACTTGCCTAGCAAATGCAAGGCCCTGAGTTTAAATTCTAGTGCCAAAAATTGTGGGCCCTTCTTCTTCAACAGCCCAAGAGGTACCAATCACAATAACCTTATCACCACTCATTCATTTTAACTCTTCTAGAACTAAATAAAATCATAGCTTGTACAGGTTCCTCAGCCTTCTTCCTCTAACATCATGTTTATGCTTTTGACACTTTATGACTTCTCTTCTGAATTCAGTTTGTAAAATGACGACTTGACGACGTGGAAGCTTGGGATACTGAAAAGCTGACTTGAGTATGGCACTTGGATTTTCCAAAGATGGACTTCCGAAACCCTGCGTGTAACCAAGGCTGGGGAGGGGGCGTGGTCACAGCGGGGCGGAGTCTTTTGGCATGGGGGCGTGGCTTCCGGCCCGGGAGCCTAGCGGCGGTTGGCTTCGGGAGCAGGGCCGAGGTGTGGGCACCGAGGGCGGGGCCAGGTTGGGGCTTCCTGTTTGCGCCTGCGGAATCGCCGTTTGACCCCGGAAGTTTAGAAGCTCCGCGAGCTGTCACCGGGATCGGCGGCGGCGTGGCGGCGGCACAGCGCCCGTAGTGGAGCCGCTGAGGTGAGTTGCGTGGCTGGGTTCGGCCGGATGCGGAGCCTGGGGCTCGGAAGGAGCCGCGGTCGAACCTCGGCTGACCTCGGCATCCCAGTCCCGCTGTCTCCACCGTGGGGTCGAGGCTTACGCCGTCCCCGGGGCCTTGAGTCGCACCCCTGAGTCTAGGCCGCCCGACCTAGGAGCCCCGTGTTCGAGGCTCGGCCCCAAAGTGGCCCCCCTCCCCTTTGCTTCCGGGGCTTCAGTTTCCCTGGGATTCATTCATTCATTCAGCAGGTATTTATTGAGCTCCTTTTAGATCCCAGACCCAGAGCTAGAGCCGGGCGCCGGTGGCTCACGCCTGTCATTCTAGCTACTCTGGAGGCTGAGATCTGAGGATCGCGGTTCAAAGCCAGCTCGGGCATGAAAGTCCGTGGTACTCACCTCCTATAAACCGCCCAGAAAACCGGAAGTGGCGCTGTGGCTCAGAGTGGTAGAGTGCTAGCCTTGAGCTGAAGAGCTGAGGGACAGCGCCCAGGCCCAGAGTTCAAGCCCCACAACCAACTAACTAACTAACAAAATAAATAAAGCTAGACAGCTAGAAAGTACCTGCCCTCAGAGAGTTTACAGTCAATGAAAGTGAATGTACAGGGTATTTAAACCGGAAGAGTAAATACTTTAGATCGATCTAGGACTAATTCCAAAGACTGTAATACAGCATTGTGATAGATGAGTCTAACAGTGGGAGAATTTCCCAGTTAATTCAGTTCTGTAGCCATAAAGTAGCCTCATAGATGTTTACAGGCTCTATTATAATTGATGTGTGTTCTAAGCTCCCCTCCTAAGAAAAACCCTGCCTAACTTTTGGCTGCTGCTGCATTCTCTTGAAATGGAGGGGGGAGGGGTAGGAGAGTGGTCAGCACAAATACAGTCATGATCACTGCCCGTGTCCCTTTGGAACATTCTAGTCTGCCTAATTCATTTAGATGAAAACTGAAAATTCTCTTTGATGTCCTTCTTTAAGTCATTTCTGTCTGTTAAATGTAGCTAGAGCCTTACCCATACAACAGGCATAACGGTATTGATTGTTATATTGTTGTGTGGCTAGATTTGTATCCCTCATTCCCACAAAGAACTTGTGAAGGGTAAGTCTAAGCCTGTATTTTGCCAACTTTAGTGTTACCTGGTCATCAATGCCTGCCACATAGTAGATATTGAAACATCTCTGGATAAAATGATTATACAGTAGTGTCTACTATTCATGGGTTCATAGGAGATTGCCTATCCCCAGGTTATATCTTTGTTGGTTGTGTCTCTTCCCTCTTCCTGGGGCTCCTCATGGCCTTCAGATAAAAGGTCAACCTTTTTAGCCTCTCATTTGAGGCTCTTTTTTTTTGGGGGGGGGGGAATCTGTCATGGGGCTTGAACTCTGGGCTTGGGCGCTGTCCTTGCACTCTTCAGCTCAAGGCGAGCACTCTACCGCTTGAGCTACAGTGCCACTTCTGGTTTTCTGTCGTTTATTGGAGATAAGAGTCTCACGGACTTTCCTGCCCAGGCTGGCTTTGAACTGCGATCCTCAGATCTCAGCCTCCTGAGTAGCTAGGATTACAGGCATGAGCCGCCGCTGCTCCGCTTAAGGCTCTTTTTAAACTGACTCCATCATCCTTGTACTTTTTTTGTTTTGGGTCCAGTCGTGGGGCCTGAACTCTGGGCCTGGGCCACAGTGCCACTTCCGGCTTTTTTCTTTTTGCTTATGTGGTGCTGAGGAATGGAACCCAGGGCCTCATGCATGCAAGACAAGCGCTCTACCACTGAGCCACCTTCCCAGCCCCTTAGCATTTTTTTTTTTGCTGAAGACCAGTGCTCTACCACTTGAGCCACAACTCCATTCTGGCATTATTATTATCATTATCATCATCATCATCATCATCATCATCTCATTATCTTTTTATTTTATTTTTTGCTGGGGCTTGAACTCAAGGCCTGAGCACTGTCCTTAAGCTTCTTTTGCTGAAGGCTAGCACTCTACCACTTGAGCCACAGTGCCAGGTCTGGCTTTTTCTGTTTATGTGGTACTGAGGAATCGAACTCAGGGCTTCATGCATACTAGGCAAGTACTCTACTACTAAACCACATTCCCAGCCCTTCATCCTCATTATTTTGTGTGTGTGTGTGTGTGTGTGATTAATTGGAGGTAAGAGTCTCACAGACATTCCTACCCGGGCTGGCTTTGAACCACAATCCTCAGATCCTAGCCTCCTCAGTGGCTAAGGTTATAGGTGTTAGCCACTGCTTCCCACACATGTTGGCTTTTTAATAGTGTGTCTTTTGAGAGTCCTTATTTACATTCCGTGATTCAGCCCACATGTATATCCCTTCTGTGAGTGAGGTCAAGTTTTAGTGTGGAAGAGAATGTTGGATTGGAAGACAGCAGATTTGGGATTTGCCATTCCCTAGCATTTTTTTTGGGGGGGGGCAGTCAGTAGGGTTTGAACTCAAAGCCTAGGTGCTGTCCCTGAGCTCTTTTGCTCAAGGTTAGTGCTCTACCACTTTGAGCCACAGCGCCACTTTCAGTTTTCTGCTAGTTAATTGGAGATCAGAGTCTCGTGGACTTTCCTCCCTGGCCTGGTTTTGGACCACAATTCTCAGATCTCAGCCTCCTTTGTAGCTAAGATTACACACATGAGCCACCATCACCTGGCTTTTTTTTTTTTTTTAATGCTGAGAATGAACTGAGTTCCTTGCATATACTTAACTCAAGCCTAACTCCCTGGCTTTGAGACCAGTTTGTGCCTCTGGAGGAGTTTGCATCATTTGCATTTTATCTTCCTCCTTGCCCTTGTATTCTTTGAGTTGTTTGCCCTTGGAACTTTAAGAGTTTGGAAAATCTTGTAGAAAGACAAGGGAGGAGGGGCCAATGGCTCCAATCTTAAGATCTTGGGAGAGTTATGAGAAGAGTGACCTCATAGTTAGTCATTGTCAACCATTTAGTGAGGCTGCATCTGTTCTAGACCTGTGCTGGTCCTGGGAAAGGCAGCAAGAGGAGATCCCTGAGCAATGTCTTTACAGAGCTCAGTCTGCAGGGTGCAGAGCTGGAGTCATTATAAAGATAATGTAAGCCTGGCTCTGGTGGCTCACACCTATAATCCTAGCTACTCCGGAGGCTGAGATCTGAGGATCACTATTCCAAGCCAGCCCAGGCAGGAAAGTTGGAAGTAGAGCTGTGGTTCAAGTGGTAGAATGCTCACCTTGGAGCACAGGGACAGTACCTAGGCCCAGGGTTCAAGCTCTAGGACCAGCAAAGCAAAAAGGGGGGGGGGGTAATGTAGGAAGCTGGAGCTATGACTCAGTGGTAGAGTACTTACATTCTATGCCCCCCCCCCCCCACACACAAACCAGGTACTGGTAAGCTCATGTCTATAATTCTAGCTTTTCAGGAGGCTAAGATCTAGGGATGGCAGTTCAAAGCCAGCCTACGCAGGAAAGTCCAGGAGACTCTTACCTCCAATAAACTATCTAAAAACTGGATTTAGAACTGTGGCTCAAAGTGGTAGAGGGCTACCCTTGAACATAAAAGCTCAGGGATAGCACCCAGGCCCTGAGTGCAAGCTCTTTGGTCTGCCTGGGAGAACAGTCCCCTCCCTACTTCATCTTCGTGAAAGACAGCACCAGCCTTACCAGAAATCACCTGCCTGAAACCAGTAATCACCTGACTGTCAATCACCTGACTTTGAGTAAGCAAAGGACTCCAGACTGTGAGGTCATCTCCTTATCTGCTGAGGTCATTTTCTAAACCGCCCCAGTCAGGTGTCCTTCAGACAATGATAGGTTCCTTGGGCTTTGAGGTCACTTCCACATCTGCTGTGGTCACACCTCCTCCTCACCTTTCCCTATATAATCCATATGAACCACAAGGTCTTTTCCACTCCTTCCCTTCTCTCTTTCTGCCTGCCTCCATCTCATGTGGGCTGGCATGTTTGCTCTCCCTCTTCCCTTCCCATCCGGCATCCCCCCCCCCCGCAATAAACTTTTTTTTTTGCCTGAACCATGTGGTGGTCTCCTTTCAGCGAACCTTACACACAGAAAAATAATAATAAGAGAATCTAGGTACTTTCAGCCACTACATAGAGTGAGTGGGAGTCATCTGGGAAGTATTTCCCTCTACAGTTAAGCACTGCTGCTTTAGGTAAAAAGGCATCGCTTTGATCCATATAGACCAACCAAAGCTTAAGAGGTCTCATCTGGAAGCTCCCTACGGTGCAGGTAGTTGGGAGGGGGGTGAGGGAATGCTTCTCTCTGGCTCTGAGTTCCACCCCAGAGCAGGCCCTGACCCCCCCAAGAATCTGTGTGTCTGCTCTCTTCTTCCCATCCGTATTCCTTTCAGGAGGGTCGTGCAGCACAATGCCAGCTCTGCCCCTGGACCAACTCCAGATCACCCACAAGGACCCGAAGACAGGAAAGCCGAGGACTTCACCAGCGCTGGTGAGCCAGTGCCTTGAGGCCATTCAGCCTGATATTATCAACCTTGCAATTTCAGAAGCAAAAGTGAATTCCTTCCTTATCCAAGAATGACCCGAGGGCCATGGTCAGTAATTCAGTAGCCGAGACCCTACTAAGCCTTTTCAGGCCTAGTGTGGAAGTTTCCTTCTAAGCATCAGCCTGCACTTGAGTAGAAGTTTCCATGTTACTGCCCCCCCAAAAAAAACAAAAACAAAAAACTTTGCTTCACAATCAGTCCAATGGCAGTTCTGACTCAGGCCAAACAGGGCTCCAAATGGCTCCAAAGCTGAGTTTGGAGATTGGGTCCTGGGTGGGTGTTCATGTTTCAGGTAGGACTTTTGCAGAGCTGTCTAAGCTATTCCCCCACACTTGAGTGGGAACACTGATCTCAGAGGTAGGGCCCTCTTTTATCTCACCAGGGATAAGAAAGGCCAGATACAGACTCAGCCAAGGCCTGTGAGAATGAAAGCTAAGGAGGCTGTGAACCTTCTGATTCCCAGCTGCAGAGAGAGATTAGAGCCATGGAGACGTGCCAGGCTACTCAAGGAGGAGACAGACTCAGGGACTCCAGGCCCCAAACCCACTTGTTGATTTCCCAAGAATATGAGTTTACTTGAACAAGGTGGGAAGAAGTATTTTCTATAGGCTCGAGTAAAGTCGTGGGAAACAGGAGGTAGGTGTTTTATTTCCTGCTTTCTGGATGGTTGCTTATTACTTCCTCAACAGTATCTAGTAATAGTAGCTAACCTGTTTTAGAGTGCTCACTCTGGGCCAAGCCATTCTAAGTGCTTCACTCAGATTATCTCAGTTAAGCTGAATCCTGGCCTTGTGAACAAGTATTTTCATCATCATCCTGATTTAACAAATAAGGAAATTGTGAGTTCAAGATCATAGAACTAGGAAATCAGGAGGGACAGGATAGGGACCCAACCAGGCTGACCCCAGAACTCATACCCTGAAGTTTTGCTTTTAGTCGTGGGGCTTGAATTCTCAGGCTGTGCGCTGTCCCTCAGCTCTTCAGCTCAAGGCAGTGTTCTACCACTTGAGCCTTGAGCCACAGTGCCACTTCTGACTTTTTCTGCTTATGTAGTGCTGAGGAATCCAACCAGGGCCTCATGCATGCAAGGCAAGCACTGTTACCACTGCGCCATCTTCCCAGCCTTACCCTGAACTGTTTTTTTTGTTGTTGTTGTTTTTGTTTTTTTGCAATTAAAGCTCTTATTTCCTTTTCATGGCCTTTTTATGCATGGAAGCGATTTGCCAGAAAAGCTAGTGCTCTTTAATAGGTAGCCATTTGCCACATGTAGCTTTGAGCACTTGTAATGAGTGTGACTGGTGCTTAAAATGTAGACTGGGAAACTGGTGGGGTCTTTTTTGTTTTTGTTTTTTTCTGTTCTTTTCTTGCTAGGCAAGTGCAGGGCTCCTTGGGCCATGCTCCAGGTTTTTTTTACTTTTGTTACTTTTCAAATGAGGTCTCATGTTTATGCCTAGGGGCAGCCTGGATTGTGATCCTCCTATTTATTTATTTCATGTATCTAGCATGACAGGTGTATACCAGTATGCTCAGCTTTTTTTTATTGATTGAGGAATGCTCTCACATTTACACCCAAGGCTGGCCTCAAACTTCCAATCCTTCTATTTGCCACCTCCCAAGTAGCTAGGACTGCAGGTGTGACTCTCTGTATCCATTGGAGCTACAATTTTAATTAATGTATATGAAAATCATCCCATGGGTTGAGGGCCTTCTGGGCTGGTTCTAGAGATAATATAATATAGACACTAATGTTGGTAGAAAGTTAGTAGTTGAGTCTGAGTGGTGTTTGAGTCTAAGTTTCTGCCTCAGTCCTTCTCTGTGTACCAAATGAACAGCTGGATTGGCTGTAGACTCAGAGAGCAGGGACCTGGTTCCTTTTTTTCACTTCTAGCTTAGTGCTCAATGCATAGTAGGCAGCTCTCAGGAAGTATTTAGTAAGCTAGGCTTGTTGTCAGGTGCTGGAGTTACAAAAATAGAGAAGTTATGATTTCTACTCTTGGGGAGCCCATCACCTAAGAGAAGAACAGACAGTGTGCTCAGGATTGGGGTAGAAGGAAAGCCACGTGGTGACAAATGCAGAGCCCAAGCCACTGATCTAGACTTGGGGGGTGGACGTAATGGGAGGATTGGCAGGGACAAGGAGGTCTTTGGATGACTTATTGGATGAGAGGGGTTCTGAACAGGATGTTGGAGGGTGAGTAAGGACTAGCTGGACAGAGTAGGGACAGAAGGGAGGTGCTGGAGTATTGAGGGAACCTGGCTTTAACACCATGAATGATTGGAAGAGGCGGCAGAATAGAGCTAACAAGAACAGGCTTTGCATTCATCTCACATATATTTGGCACGTTCACTTTGTTAAGCAATCAAGATCCAAAAGCAGGTAATCAAAGGCTGAGCTTGGGGAGGTAGCAGTAAGAATGAAATAGTCTGTCTCTTCCCACTGTGTCTAACACGTAGTAAGTAAGCACTCTTGCAGTTGTGATTGTGACTAGCATTGACTGAGGGCTAGGATGAGAAGAGGGACAAGCTGAAGGAGGCAGCTGCCTGGGTGAGGAAGGGTCTTTTGAGCTGCACTGAGCACATTATTCTCTCGGATTGCCCTAAGAAGTAAGTACCTACTGGCATTTGTGTCTGGAGTCCCAACTTGAGATCCAAAGATCTCCAGCCATGTTGCCTTTTGCAGGATGATCAGTGGAACAAGTGTTTATTGGGTGGCTACTCTTTTTAAATTGTACATGCTGGGGCTGGGACTGCGCCTTAATGATAGAGTGCTTGCTAGCATGCATGAAGCCCTGGGTTAGATTCTGCAGTACCGCATACACAGAAAAAGCCAAAAGTGGTGCTGTGGTTCAAGTGGTAGAGTGCTAGCCTTGAGATAAAGAAGCTCAGGGACCGTGTTCAGGCCCCAAGTTCAAGCCCTAGGACTGGCGGGGGGGGGGGGGGGGAAGTGCGTGTTTGGAGGACCCACAAGAAATACACCTTGGGAGTAGAATGAGTGAGTGCCCTCCTGCAGATAAGACTCAGATAAGCGGTGCCTTTGGAGAACAGTGCAAAATGAGTTCTTATCAAGATGCACTGAAGTTTGATGGGCAGTGAATGTTCTCATAGTTTCCCAGAACAGGCAGGACCTAAACCAGGCTCATGAACTTCAATAGGCGAGGTCACCTCAGAGTAGAGGCCCTCTTGTTGAGCTTGATATTCAAGGTCCTTTGGATATCTTGGCAGGATTTGGCCATTTGTTAATTCCATTCATTCTTTTGTGAAAATGTGTATAGAGTCAGTTTGGTATCAGACTCTGTTCAGAGCTGGGGATTCTCTGCCAGCCAGTGGGGGACACAGCTGAGAAGGTGGTCCCTTTTTATGTAACTTTTTGAGTTATCATTGAAGTACAGTAAACTGGAACATTCTCCATGTCAACAGTTTCATTGGTTTTATTTATTTTTTATTTTTGGGGGGGTCCAGTCGTGGGGCCTGAACTCTGGGCCTGGGCGCTGTCCCTCAGCTCTTCAGCTCAAGGCTAGCGCTCTACCACTTGAGCCACAGCGCCACTTGTGGCTTTTTCTGCATATGTGGTACTGAGGAATCAAACCCAGGGCCTCAGGCATGCAAGGCAAGCGCTCTACCACTGAGCCACCTTCCCAGCCCTGATTGGTTTTAATATTGGTAAAATACTCACAAAAACAACACCACAATGGAAAGTATTTACATTCCTATCATTTCTACCCCTAAAAGTCTCCTTATGCCCTTCCTCTCTCCCTGGTTCTGTAACTACTGTCCTGAAAGCATTTTTGATGCAGTTCAAAAGATGTCACAGTCAGGTTGGCACAGAGCACAAAGGCTGAGAGAGAGCCCAGGTAGACCCCTAATGCAGCTGGGGTCAGAATAATGAAGGCTTTCTGGAGGGGATGAGATCAGATCCAGGGTCCAAAGGACAAGCAATGAAATCAGGATACAGATGAATACCATAGGTCAATTAATAGGTCTCCCAGGTGAGCATTGCTTTAAGATCTGTTTTACTTGCTGCCATAACCCCAAGACCTTAGGAAAGGTCTTGGGCCTTAACGAGTCTCCATTTCCTCTTCTGGAAAATGAGGAGAAGACTATTTTATCTAGTTATATAGATAAGAACGAAATTGACCTGCTCAGCAGCTGGCTCAGGGCAGGTCCTCAATATGTGCTAGCTTTCCTTATTGTTATTCAGCATCCTTCAAGTCCTTTTCCCAGTGTACATTCTGTGACCCATTTTTTATGCTTCTATCAAAATACTGCTTTTTAGCCAGACAAAGTAGCTCTCCTACCTGTAATTCTAGCTACTCATGAAGGTGGCTGAGATCAAGACGTTCCAAGCCAGGCAAAAAGTTTATGAGATTCCATCTCAACCAACCAAAAATAGGAGTCCACACCTCCTATTCTAACTACTCAAGTAACTTAAATAGGAGGATGCCAGTCCCAGCCAGTTCAGGCAAAAATGAGACCTTATTTGAAAAATAATGAAAGCAAAAAGGACCAGAGGCTGGACTCAAATGCCTGCCTAGCAAGTATAGAGCCCTGACTTAAAACCCCAGCACACACACACACACAAAAAGTGTATATGTATATGCAGTTTCTTCTACCTATACTTCCTTTTCCTCTAAAGCTTAGCTCGGATCTGCCTGTCCTGGGAAGCCGTCCCTTGTCCTCCAGGTGCTCTTAGTTTCCTTCCATGCTCCTGTGATCCTGTCAGTTTTGATTTGTTTTTGTTTTTTGTTTTTGGGTCCGGTCGTGGGGCTTGAACTCTGGGCCTGGGCGCTGTCCCTCAGCTCTTCAGCTCAAGGCTAACACTCTACCACTTGAGCCACAGTGCCACTTCCGGCTTTTTTCTTTTTGCTTATGTGGTGCTGAGGAATCGAACCCAGGGCCTCATGCATGCAAGGCAGGCGCTCTACCACTGAGCCACCTTCCCAGCCCCTTCTGTCAGTTTTGAGCAATTGCTTCTCTTCCGGGCTCCTTGGTGGCCTGGATGTACATCTTCCCCTCTGGAGTACCTGAATGCTTTATTCATATGTCCTCCACTCTTGGTATAGTGGGTCTCCCATAGTTAATGTCAGTGGGATTGGAGAGAGAGAGAGAGAGAGTGTGTGTGTGTGTGTGTGTGTGTGTGTGTGTGTGTGCGTGTGTGTGCGTGTGCGCGTGCGCGCCTATCCTGGGGCTGGAACTCAAGACCTGAAACACTGTTCCTGAGCTTTTTTGCTCAAGGCTAGAACTCTACCACTTCAGCCACAGCTCCAGTTCCAGCTTTTTTGGAAGTTAATTGGAGATGAGAGTCACACAGACTTTCCTGCCTGGCCTGGCAGATCTCAGCCTCCTGAGTAGCTAATATAACAATGTGAGCCACTGGCACTGAGTAGCAGCCTTCTTTTTGCAATAGATTTGGAGCTCGAAGCTTACTATATGAGATTTAAATGGGAAAGGGCCCTACAGACCCATGTGCTCGATGGCCCTGATGAATTCTTGTGGAACCCAGTGCCTCCATAGTTTGCAAACTTGCATTGGGCAGTGGGAAGGCCTCGATGGTTCTTGAGGAGGCTACACCATCAGTCTGGATGGTTCTATATCCCTTGGCCTGACATGGGATCCTCTATCTGGGGACTGTGATTAATAACAGACTCAGACATTGCCAGCCTTCCTCCTATTACTTACCGCTTCCAGAGAAAACCACCCTCTTGTAGTCCATCTCTCCTCTTCATGGTGAGGTCTGTTTACAGTATGGTCTGGGCTGAGAGAACTGTGACTCTGAGACCTGTGACTACTTGATTGGCATCTTTTCTTTCGTAAGATTAGTGAATAAAAAAAAACAAAACTTGCCCATGTAATTGTAACCCCTCCGTACAGTATTTTCACAAGAAAAAAAGAAAAAAAACCCACAGTGATTTGTACATTTGTGTCAGAAAGTAAAAAATGTGCACAAATGCTTCATAAGGCTGTATTTTAATGTAAATGCCGAGAAGGCCTAGGAGGACCCCACATCCCAGGACCCTAGCAGATGGCAAGTGTCTTCCTCTGGGAGATGAAAAGGACTAGGAGTGTGATCCCAGATGATGCATCTGTGTAACATTGTCTTCTTTCTTCCCTCTTCCCCCTCCCCCCTCCCTTCCTTCCTTCCCCCTCTCTTCTTCCCTCCCTCCTTCACTTCTTCTTTCCCTCCTTCCCTCTTCTTCCTCCCACCCCCTCCTTTCCTTTCTCCCTCCCTCTTTCCTGTTTTCCTATTTTTTGGGGTGGGGGGTGGGGCTTGTACCCAGGGCATCACTCATGCTGAGCACATACTCTGCTACTGAGCTGTACCTTCCTTTTGAAGGAAAAGGTGCTCATCTCTCACTTACATAATTAAACCTTAATTTAAAACAATACATGACCATTGTCTAAAAATCAGAAAGTATGTTCAAGCCTCAGTCCTCTCTCCTAAGATAACTACTATTAGTTGGAATTTTTGTCTCCACCACTTTGTTTTTGTAAACCTGTACCAGCGATCACAAATTAAAGGCCAGCCTGGGCTACCTGTCTCAAAAGAGAAACACACAGACACACACACACACAGAGAAAACTAACAAACACAAATCTGTACCAATGTGTGAATATCTAGTCTTTAAAAACAAACCATAAAACCCCTGATTTTATTAATGGAGCTTTGTATCCTGCTTTGTCTTCTCTTAACCTTTCCCCATGTCATTAAAGCCCTCAGAAATGTGGTTTTTAAACAACCACCTGTGTTCTCTGGGAGCAGCCATCCCTCCTTTGTTAGATACACTTGGTTCTTTCTGTCCAAAGCTCCTTGGAGGGTCACCAGGTGGAACAGCCAAGTGTTGTCATTGCTGTGTGTTGGCAAATGGGCCCTCACTGACTAACCTCTGCCACGTTAACACGTGGTTTTTGGATCCCTAGCACCCCGAGCAGAAGGCAGACCGGTATTTTGTGTTATACAAACCGCCCCCTAAAGACAACATCCCCGCCCTAGTGGAGGAGTACCTGGAGCGCGCCACCTTCGTAGCCAATGACCTCGACTGGCTCCTGGCCTTGCCTCACGATAAATTCTGGTGCCAGGTAACATTCTATCAAAATTAATGCTAAGACAAAACACATGACATGCCGTTTGGTTGGTTGCTGGTGTTTTTCTCCCTACCTCCCCCACCCCCCCTCCCCAGGAGGTGCTTTTTTATTTTTTTATTTTTTTGTGTGTCTACTTCTTAGCCTGGATCCTTAACAGCAAATTGTGGTTTGGATTGCTCTGTCTCATATCACAAGCCTAGTGATGCTTACACAGCTTCCAAGTGTCATTTTAAGAGATGTGTGTGTAGCCCTCGGCTCATTTGTACCTCCTTGGTCCCTTGGGGTTGGAGTGTTTGCACTAGGCCAGGGCTGATGGGCAGTAAGCCCCTGTGCAGTCTGCTGCAAGCACTTGGCCCTCAGCCTTCAGTCCTCCTTCTCCTCTGTCACCTGCCTTAGGTCATCTTCGATGAGACTCTGCAGAAGTGCCTGGACTCCTACTTGCACTATGTGCCCCGAAAGTTCGACGAGTGGGTGGCCCCCACCCCTGAGGTTGCAGATATGCAGAAGCACCTACACCGAAGCATTTTCCTCACCTTCCTCCGCATGTCCACTCACAAGGAATCCAAAGTAAGCCTCCAGTCCCCTGACAGATCACCACCTGCCACCGCCTGACACCTGACACCTCTGTTGGCCTCCCCACCCCTGGGAAGGAAGGGTCTGGAAGCATCAGGTTTCCTCTTTGTCTCCTCGTGACCTTTATCCCCACCATTGGGAAGGAAATCTGTGCCACCTTTCCTCGCTTATAGTGTACTGGCCTATCTACATTACACCCAGTGTTTTCATCAATGGGAGCTGAGGGCTCTTTGCCAGGTGACATGTGACTGCCTGTGCTCATGCATTACAGGGCGAAAACAACAACTCTGACTTCTTCAAGAAACTTGTATACTCTTTTAAAAGTCATTACTGGGCTAGGGGTGGAGCTCAGTGGTTGAGCACTTGCCTACTTACATAAAGCTCTGGGTTCCATTCTTACTATGGCAAAAAAAAGTCATTTTGTCTAAACAACTCAAATATTACAGGAATATCAAATGGATATTGAATGTCTTCTCAAAAGTCCCCTGCCCCAAAGTCACCATTGTCAGAATGGGGAGTGTAGATCAAGTGGTAGTACCCCTGCCTAGCAAGCAAGAGCCCTGAATTAAAAGCCCAGAACCTCAGAAAGAAAAAAGAACTCACCAGACTGGCCACAATTAAGGTTCGTGATCTTTTTGTTGTTGTTGTTGGTGGTAGTGGGGCTTGAACTCTGGGCCCAGGTGCTGTCCCTCAGCTCTTCAGCTCAAGGCTAGCACTCTTACCACTTGAACCACAGCACCATTTCTGATTTTCTGTGTGGTTTATTGGAGATAAGAGTCTCATGGACTTTCCTGCCCAGGCTGGCTTTGAACCACGATCCTCAGAGCTCAGCCTCCTGAGTAGCTAGGATTACAGGTGTGAGCCACCAGCTCCTGGCTAATGTTAGTGATCTTTCAGGAAAGTTTATTCCTTTGGGAAAATTGGAATTTTTTAAATAGGATCTTGGAGCAAGGCGCCAGTGGTTCAGGGCCAGTGGCTCAGGGCCAGCTACTGCTTTTATATAGGAGCTGTGTATTTCAAGAGAAGTTATAAAGCTGGGCTAGTGGCTCATGCCTGTGATCCTAACTATTCAGGAAGCTGAGATCTGAGGATTGTAGTTCGAAGCCAGCCTGGTCAGGAAAGTCTGTGAGACTCTTATCTCCAATAAACTATGCAGAAAAAACCCAGAAGTGGTATTGTGGCTCAAGTGGTAGAGTGCTAGCTTTGAGCACAAAGAGGCTCAAGGATAGTGCCCAGGCCCTGAGTTTAAGCCCTAGGACCAGCCAAAAAAAAAAAAAGGATCCTGATATTGAGGGTATAGTTTTGTGGCAGTATGCTTGCCTAGCACCAAAACCAGAAAAAGAATCTTTAAGAAAGAAAAATATGCCTGGTGCTGGTGGTTCATGCCTGTAATTCTAGCTACTCAGGAGGATAAGATCTAAGGAGTTCAAAGCCAGCCTGGGCAGGAAAGTCCATGAGACTCATCTCCAATTAACCACCAGAAAACTGTGGCTCAAGTTCTGAAGAGCTGAGGAACAGCACCCAGGCCCAGAGTTCAAGCCCCAGGACTGACTTTAAAAAGAGAGAGAGAGGGGCTGGGAAGGTGGCTCAGTGGTAGAGCGCTTACCTTGCATACCTCAGGCCCTGAGTTCGATTCCTCAGCACCACATAAGCAAAAAAGAAAAAAGCCGGAAGTGGCACTGTGGCTCAAGTGGTAGAGCCCTATCCTTGAGCTGAAGAGCTGAGGGACAGCGCCCAGGCCCAGAGTTCAGGCCCAACTACCGGACCCCCCAAAAAAATAAATTAATTAAAAAATAAAAAGAGAGAGAGAGAGAAAGAGGAAGGAAGGAAGGGAGGGAGGAAGGTAGGAAAAAAGAATGAATATAGCTGGGTGTTGTTGGCTTATACCTATAATCCTAGTTACTCAGGAGTCTGAGATCTGAAGATCACAGTTCAAAGCCATCCCAGGCAGGAAACTCTGAGACTTTTTTTTTTTTTTTTTTCGGTTGTGGGGCCTGAACTCTGGGCCTGGGCGCTGTCCCTCAGCTCTTCAGCTCAAGGCTAGCGCTCCACCACTTGAGCCACAGCACCACTTCTGGCTTT